GTAGTTTGAATCAATGATTGCTGTTTAATCCTCAAATCTGGAATTTTGTGGCTCTTGATTTTGGTTTCGGGTAGTGGTATAGTATTAGTAGGAAAGGATCATCGATTTTGGACCCTAAAATTTGTTTGACTTTGACTTCCAAAGTCAAATCCAGAGTAGTCAACACCGACACCAGGACCTTGTAAGAACCTCGTGGCTGTCCCTTATCATGTTAACCGTGAGATTTTGAACAAGATCTCCGAAATTTGGAGACTCAAATTTACATGTGTTTAGGGTTTTTTATCGACATGTATAAAACTATAGCCGAAGTTATTTAGGGTCAAACCATTAATTGTTTGGTTTTGGGTTCAAATCATTAATGGTTTAGGTTTAGTTTCAGATTGTTAATCGTTTTATGTTTAACCCATTTTTGTTCAAAACGTATGTATTCTCTGTTATTTTATTTATGTAATGTAATCAAAAGTTTTGGATGTAACAGAGCCTGCAAAAAGATTGGTACGTCCCAACCTCTTTCCTTAACTTATCAAATTAACAATAGTAGTTCTTCCTTTTTGTGGGTACATTTACTCTTTCAACATCAGTAATTATTATATTAATAATTATAAAATCAAGAAAAAAAAGTAAGATCCAAGGTTTTTACTCAAGCACCTAAAGGACATGAGGTTCTTATAAGAAACTCCATAGTAATAATTCTTACAAGCAATTACACTTTTTTCTGATAAGAATCATACAGTGGAGATCCTCTGATTTTTTGAGTTTTTCTATAATAACTGAAGTCACTGATCCACCGGTTAGACGGGAGGTTTAAGTTTGACTCCATGATTTGATGCGGATGTTGCTAATATATTCGTTGGACTCAAATTAACATAGAAGTTTGATTTTGGTTATGTTTGATAAATTGGCTGATAAGTTACTTGTTAATTAATAAATTAACAGATAAACTAGTTTGGTAACGAAAAACATTAAATGATAAAAAAAAATGAAGGTAAATGATCATGTGAGAAAGAAAGTTAAGGTGAGAAGCGTAAGGAGAGATTTGAACCCTTGATTACCTTTAATCTTAAACTCACCCATCAATCGCACTTGATACAGGGATTGACCTGGTACATTTTGATCCATCTCATTCTAACGTGTATCCATGGTGAATGAAATGTGAACTCACCCTATTAAATGAAATGTTGTAAATGGAGAAATATAATCTATAATATTGAAAAGTTGACTTGATTGAAGTACACATTGGGCCTGAGGCCCATGATTGATGATTAGAAGACCGAATGACCGATCCAATCCTTTGGGCTCAAATCAGTTACGGTTTTCAATTGGAGGCCCGGTTAAACATGGGTCGGGTTGTTCAAGTTATTTATGGACTTGAAAAAAGTCAAAACATACAAAAAGAGTTGACTATTTTGAAAAATTGAAGTCAAACATGTGAATCAGGTTTCACATGGGCAGACAGCCACTGGTTATTGTGGCTGATGCTGAGCTGTGCAGAGAAGTTGGCATCAAAAAATTCAAAGACATTCCCAACAGAAGTATCCCTTCTCCCATCATGTCTTCCCCACTCCATAAAAAAGGGCTTTTCTGGGTCAGGTATTCAGACCATGTTTCAGATTTATATCTGAATCAGGTATTTTCTTTGAAGAAATGAGCTTAATGGGTTTCCAAAAAAGAAATTACCTGAATCAGCATTCAGCTCTTTTTTTTCACATAAGTTTTCCAAAACATCGAGTATAAATTTCAGGGATTCAAGATGGTCAACCATGAGAAACACCATCGTCTCTGTATACCAGCCATCACACTTGGCCAAATTAGTCCCAACGATGCAATCCATTGTCGAAACCGCACTTCAAGATCTCCCAAACCAAGATCACGACATAAATTTGAATGAACTATCGCTCAAAATGACGACTGATGTGATCGGAAAAGCTGCTTTCGGCTTCGATTTCTGCCTCTCGAAGCCCAAGCAGCATCAGCACGGCGATGAGCAAATCGACTCGTTTTTCAGGCAACACATTTACTCCACAACGATGCTCAAAAATGACTTATCGGGCTCGTTTTCGGTCATCCTCGGCCTCCTACTACCGATCCTCCAAGAACCCTTTCGCCAGATTCTGAAACGAATTCCGTTCACCATGGACTGGAAAATCGAACAAACACTCAGTATATTGAGTAGTCAACTCGACAAGATCGTGATCAAGAAAATGAAGGACAAAGAAAGAGGATCGCAAGATTTCTTGTCGCTAGTATTGAATGCGAGGGAATCGGAGACGGTTTCGAAGAACATCTTCACCCCGGATTACATCAGTAGCTTAGCTTACGAACATCTTCTCGCTGGATCAGCAACGACGTCATTTACACTCTCATCGGCTGTTTATCTGGTTTCTGGGCATCCGGAAGTCGAGAAGAAGTTGCTTCAAGAGATAGATGCGTTTGGTCCACGCGATCAGGTTCCAACGTCTCATGATCTTCAATCGAAATTCCCGTATCTTGATCAGGTAAAGTCCAATAGCTCYATAACCTTCATTTTCCAATTATACTATAACAAAAATAGGTTTATATATCGAAATGGTTTAATCCTACAAGCAGTCTATTAGGACACTTAGAAGCAATAAAATGTCTCTTGAATGTTTTATCTTAATTGTAGGTGGTCAAGGAAGCAATGAGGTTTCATGTAGTTTCTCCTTTAGTAGCAAGGGAAACATCGACACGAGTCGAGATCGGAGGTTACATACTTCCAAAGGGAACATGGGTGTGGATGGCAGTCGGAGTTTTAGCCAAGGATCCCAAGAACTTCCCGGAGCCGGAAAAGTTCAAACCAGAAAGGTTCGACCCGAATTGCGATGAAGAAAAACAACGACATCCCTATGCCAACATTCCCTTCGGGCTTGGACCTCGAGCATGTATTGGTCAGAAATTCGCATTGCAAGAAATCAAGCTTGCACTGATTCATCTATACCAAAGATACGTATTTCGACACTCGCCCAACATGGAAAACCCGTTAGAATTCCGTTTTACCGTTGTTCTCCACTTCAAATATGGAGTCAAGGTTCAAGCTATAAAACGAACGTAAACGGCTCGTCTCTTCGTTGTCATCAAGTTTTCAAAATCCTTAGTAACCGGTCTCTTTAAGCTATGTCTGACAAATTAGCTGAAACTATATGCTAATAAGCTTATTGGAACGCTACTAGAAGTAGCTTTTCAAAAAGTCAGCATATTGCTAAATAAACGGGGATTTTTCAATAAGCTAAAAAATAATAACTGCAAATTTCAGTTGTTTTTTCATTTAGACAAACGAATGAAAGACTCAAAAGCATCAAGAACTCCAATTACAAACACACCTTACTATTTTACACCATTACAGAACAACAAGCTGTTGAACTTACCAACAAATTCAAAACCCAATTCTGCATACCATCTCAAGCATAGCAGCTTCGATTCCTCGAGCTTTTCTCGACTCGGGTAGCCAGTGGTCGAGAAACCGACAAATTAACAGAAGAAGGATCAGAACAGTTGCTGCTGTTCGAATCAATGTTGCATAAAACCCCCGAGTTTTTAAGAAAATGGAAATCGTCCATCGACTGCCGGTAGATTCTGGGAGACGGGTTTCTCTGTTTAGCCTTTGTTGATTGGGTCAAGCTCATATAGCTTGGTTTATTGCCGTTGTTAATGTTAGTAGTCTCTTCGGTTCGGTCCACCGAGATTGGAGTTGTGGTCGATGTGCATAGAGATGATGAGCCCGAGCTTCCTTCGAATCGGAACTCTGAACTTGGGCTGGACGATAAACGAGTCCGTTGGCCAGAGATTTGAGGCGGTTTTGCCGATATTCTGGTGGTCACATTGTTTCGTCTCACTTTAACCATCTCGGGTTCTGATGATTTCGAGTTTGTTAATTTATGGTTGTCCGCACAAACTTTGGATGGCGGAGTTGTTTCCAAAGGATCGTTCTGGCCTTGCTCCATCAGGCGATTCTCCCATGGCTTAGCCGACATCCAACGCTCAAGCCAACTCCAGCCCCAACTATTCTTGTCGAACTGTTGGCTCTTAAGAGATGTTAATGAAGCATTTGTTCTTGAATCCAGCCCTTGGTTTGATTTCCATTGCTACAAATCCACAGATATGAAGGTTTGATTATCTATGTCTATCTGATATGAAACTCCAACGAGAAAGAACGAACAAATGTTTTACCTTTTGAGCAAGACCATATGCTAGTGCCCGTTCGCGCCTAAAGGCACCCTCTTGCCTCATTTGTATCTTGGCTTTAACCTCTTGTAAAGTTCCTCGACGATCACACCATCCTTCCTGGAGTTTTGAAGGGCATAATTTCAAGAATGATAAACCAAACCGACTCGGTAAATCCCATTCGAAAGTAGGATCTGGAAGGTGAAATGTAGGCAGACTTGACCTCTACCCCAAAGAGTAGAGTAGTTCTTCCCGGTTTCAAGAAAGATGTTGAAATAAAGCGAAATAGTGAACCAATTTGAGTCTTGATTGTAAGTACCTCTGCCTCTTTCAAGAGCTCGGCTTGGGAGCGGCGTTCGTTGAGCATGTTCTGGACCGCCTGGCCTTCAATGGACATTCGAACACGACGAGCCCTGACTCGGGCTTGAACACGAACCAGAGCCTGCATGCACCTTAAGGTCACAGCAGCCTGTTTCCGGACCTGCCGTCCGCGGACTAAAGCTTGAAGCCTTACCACTCCTTTCAAAGCTCTTAATGCTCTTCTTGCCTATATGAATCCAACCTTATGATCATTAAAAATTGTATCTTTCCAAGGTTTACATATGATTTGAAAACTAATTACATACCCCTAAAATACCATCTAAAAGGTTAAGGAAATCATCAAAATACTAGATAACGATGGATTTGGGTAAACCACGTATACTAATTACTCCACCTTAAAGATTAAATTTTCAGACTTCATACAAGCAAATTATCAAACAGATGGAGGGTGAAAAAAAAATAGGTTACCAGAAAACCACGAAAAGCGGTTTGGATGCGAATTGCAGACCACTCTTGTCTGACGGCCTTGAAGTCTTTGGGTTGAACCCTAACAACGGTGGCAACAGCAGCCGAGAAAGCATCGGAATCGACAACAGATGACGAATCCGAGCCATCAGATGCAGATGTTGCTCCTCTGTGGCTTCCCTTGAAACCCTTCCAACCCAAACCCATCTCCCCTGATGAACTCCTCCACAACTTCCATTTCTTACCGCTCCTCCCCACTTTATCCTACACAAAACAAGTACGATTGGATCAACAGAAACCAAACAAAAGAAGCAGACACAAAAGGGTTCGAAGAAGAATGGGTTACCTGATCAAGTTTGTCTGATTTTTTGAGTATGAGGGATTTCATCCATTTTCCTGAAGCACCCATTTCTTAAACCTGCAATTATGAGAAGGGTGAATGATGAAGATGAATATGGAAGGAAGGAGAAGAGTGAATGGAAGTGGGTGATTCTTGGGAGTAGTAGAGGGGTAGTTATTTTGTCTTGTAGTGTTTGAAATTCAAAAGCAGCGCAACGGGCAAGAAGAGGAGATCGTGATTCCCGCTCGAGGAGGAGAGACAATAAATGTCAGGTGTAAGAGAATGCCATTGGGGTTTGGAACTAATTACGAAAGTGCCATTGAAACGGTTCATAAAAAGAATCGAGTGTCTGGAGGAGTGACTCTTGTCGGCATCATAAAAAGGTCCAAACACATGGACCTAAAAGTTACAAAGGACAACCAAAAGCAATATATTATTTTCAAATATTTTTAATTAATTTTGAAAATTCAATTAAAATAGTCAATTTTTTCATAATGGGTTTAACTTTTTTTAACCATTTTCAAACAAGAAGACAGAACAATACAAAATAGGATAGAACAATTGTTCAATATTTGGTAAGATAAAACTGGACAGAACAAAATAAGTAAAATGACCAATTTATCCTTGATGACTTGTTTATTTTAATTAATTTATGTAATTTATTAAATTATAATAGAATAATTAATTTTTATAACAAAATATATCATTTGAAATTTTCGTCAAAACAATTAAAATGAAACCAAATAAAAAGTTTATGTAGCTTCCAATTTTTATTTTTATCTCTTTTATACATTATTTTTTTATTATTAATATATCATAGCCGGATACCCGGTTCCGCTGCTCACCCCTAATAAAAGTCATGTCAAACATAGGACTGAGATCCATGTCTTGTTCTGTCATGTCATGTCCAGCGTACCAAATGCAACCTTAAGGGTGTTTGCTGTTCGATTTTGGGCTAAGCCGCAAAACCGCACCGATACAAGATGCATTTACGATGTGGTTTATGCAATTTTTCCCTATCACACTTACTGCAATCGATAAAGAAAGTTACATTTAAATGATGTAATAGAATTTTGACTTTATAAATCATGTTTTCTAAATTGCGAGAGGGAGAGGGAAAAAGGCAAAAGGGAACCTTGATGCGTGACACTTGGCTTTTTCATACGTCTTAAAAAACCAAACATATTTTAAAAAAGAGTAAATTACAATTTTGGTCCTTGTGGTTTTATAAGAATCTTCGAAAATGGTCCTTGAACTTCAATAATTGTAATTATCATCTCTATTGTTTAAACTTTGCCTTGAAAGATGTTCATTGACTTAACTCTTTTAATTTTTTTTCTGATAAGTTAGGGGATACCTTAGTTTTTTTTATGTATTATCTTTAATAATTAATGTATAATATTTTCTAATAATATATATATATATATATATATATATGAGTTATATATACATATATGTAGACACATAGAGAACCTTCTTCCTCCATTTCTGGCATCCGACATCTCCATCTCCGATAGCTGTCATCTCCATCTTTGGCAGTCGCCATCTAAATGAACCATCGTCTCTGGTAGCACCCTCCTTACCCCCACCTTCCATCTCCGTTTTTCCAACGCACCCTCCAATACCGACCAGCATAGAAACCCAAATCCACTTTGGTGGTCTTCTTCGACAACCCCCTCCATCACCGATCAACATTGAGATCCAACACAGTGACGATACTCCCTCATCGTCAATGACGTACATCTTCGGCAACTCCCATCTCCCTTCTCACCTTCCATCTTCGTCCAAAACATCACATATCCCGTCTCTTTTCTCCATTTTCCCCAATCCCACTACCTATTCTCTCAATGGAATCCGGACAGTCGAATTGATTGAATCGAAAAACGAGAAGATGATGGCTAGTGGTAGCAAAAATGCACATATGTAAATGTGGCACAACAATGGTGCAAGTATACACCACTATTGAGTTGTTTTCAAGTAATAACGTGGTAAAATACTGAAATCGTATCCATAGGGATCGGATTCAAAGTTTCGAGTAATAAGCTGAGAATACAATGATTTCAATTACAGAAGAAGAAAATATATTTGAGCCAGTTTGGTGCTTTTAACAATGAAATCTAAATAAGTAACTAAAATGGATATGAGTGTAAGTTTCACTTAAAACAATTATAGTAACAAAATAGTCAGATACTTTATAAAAAAATCGTCTATAAAGATCCCGATCTCTCGAAAGTGAATCTTTATAGATTCTGCCCACAAAGTCACCACTATTGTTGACTCTTAATCTTGTCGATTTAGCAAAGTTGGCTAAGAATATCAAGTTCGACTAGTATTAAGATTTATACTCAATTCTCTTTGTGATATAAATCTCAACAAAAGTTTGAACTTGAATAAATCATACAAAACTTGCATCTCTACATGATTATCAAAAGACTTTTTCAAATCTTTGTGTATCACTTAAGTCTTATTTCGAATCCGTCCATCTATGGGTCTAAGATCTAATATTAACACTTCAAAGTGATCGGCTTATCCATGTTGAGTTTAAGTCCCGGCTCAAGCGACCAAACTTATAAAATAGCAACGATAGCAACACTTAGGTGTCACCTACTAGCTTTAAGTTTGACTCACACTCAAACCCAAAAAGTGTGTAGCTAATAATTAAAGTGAAAACATAGTAGAAGAAGATAAATACTTGAAAGCTACTTGCATTAAAAATAAAATACAAATTATGCCCACAGTGGGCAGCAGCTGAAAATTAAAAACTTGAAAAATAAATTACAACTACAACTACAAAATGTAAAGACAATTTGGAACTTCTACAGTGCTACAACTCTCTTTCAAATAAATCTCAATGCCTCTTATTTATAAAGAGGGAAAAGGAAGACGATGAACTTTACCCGATAAAAAAAGACTTATTTAAACTTCTAGGTGAAAGGGTTTGCATTTGGGATTTGATTTGGATTTGGATTTTGTTAAATGTTGTTGGTGTTCGTGGGATTGGATTTGGATTTAGGGTTTGATTTAAGGTTTTTGATTTTAGGATTGATTTATGTTGATTCGTATTTTAATTAAATTTGTATAATTTTGTTGTCAAATTCTTGTGTTTAGCATGACGTTCTTGGAGAAGATGAATATGCAAGAAAAATAAAATAAATACAGAGTTGATTAAAAAAGGTGTATAATAACAAAGCTAAATTGACAAATTTGCGTTCATATTTAACATGAAAAATAGACGGTTGTTTGTCTTAAGGGACCAAATTCAAAAATGTCTACATATGTAAAGGTTTCTTTTGTAATAATGAAGTTAAGAGACCAATTCTATAATAATCGACATACATTAAGGACCAATTATGTAATAATCGACATACATCAAGGACCAATTCTGTAATAATCGACATACATTAAGGACCAATTCTATAACTTACTCTTTTATGTATGTAATTTAGAGGAGGGTTAATGATTTACCAGTGTGAGATATCACATTGTTCGAGAAACCCTAGATGTTGTCGGAGTAAAGGATCGTCAACAAGGTCCGTTGTAGATTCTTATCTAAGACTTGTATCATTTGATAATGTCATGTGAATCGTTAGAAACATGTGAAGTGCATGACTAACTCAATAACAAAAGTTTCGTAAGGGGACCGGAGCAAACTACCATGATACATAAGATCTTTTTTCTAATAATATATTTATCAATTAATATATAAATTTAAAATAAAATATAGGGAAAAGTACAATAAAAACCAATGGACTTTCTTGTTTGGAATGATTAAGTCCTTGGACTTTTTTTTGGAACAAATAAGTCCTTGGACTTTTTTTTGGAACAAATAAGTCCTTGGACATTCCAAAACATGTTAAATAAGTCATTGGATAATTTTTTGGAACAAATAAGTCCTTGGACATTCCAAAATATGTTAAATAAG